AAAAAAAAAAAAAGAAAAATAATTGATTATAAAGATGATGTAAGCGGCACATATACTTACCAGCAATTTATAAAGAATATAAAGATTGATTTGAATTCTACAGTCCCAATGTTCGATTATGCTCTTCACCGTAGTACGTATACACGATATGCTTTTCCACCAAACAATAATTAACGCGCGCATATACACAGACACACAATTTTCAATTACAGTCCGATCGCGCAGATCCAAACGAATCCATAATTAATGCGGACTGAAGCATGTCAATCAAACGATGCTTCGCCACAGTTCGTCCTCATTAATTAGCCGACTAATTCAGTCTTCATATCGGGGGATCAAAACTTCAAAGAAGTTTTTTCCACGGTTTACAACGAACGTCCCGTACAAAACAACCTATCGTAATTCTTTATTTATTGACGATTTGCTTAATAACAAGTAGTTTTTCTTTTTTTAAGTTTTCTGTTCTAACACACTGAAGCGCAATTTTGAAAATTTTGTTTTCTTTTTTTCATGTGAAAAAGAATAGTAGTAGATTTGTTGGATCGTTCCCTAATTAATGTTATATGTAGATGTTGATCTTGGAAGACAAAATGAGACAATAAACAAACTGCTTTTTTTACATGCTATATACATAATTTTTATGCATTTGTGAAAAAATACGTACAATGTATACAGTATGCAAAAATATGTAATATATTGAAAGGAGAGTATTAATTACATGTGGAAGAAACAATTTTCCATTTAAGTTCTATTTCTTTAATCATGTCCATAAAAATGTAAAAATCCGTAATCTAATTATAATATTATTTCATGATGTTTTACTAATATTAATGTTCTAATACAGTTAATATTTATATTATTAATTGTAGTACTGATATTATTTGATAATATTATAATTATCATTGTATTACACATCATTATTATTATTATATAATATCACTACACTTATATTTCATAATAATAATAATTACAATTGTAATATCATTTTACGAAGATACTAAGAAGAGGAAGAAAAATTTTAAAAATCTGTTATTTAAAACAACCGATCAATCAAATACAAAAATTAATGCTGAAAATTGAAATTTCTATTTTTATAGTTTCGAAATTAAAATACACATATAATTAATCACGGAACGATTCAATCTCTTAAAGCGTAATAGAAATTATTGCAAGAGTATTTCATTAAATTGAGTCATTCAACAGGACCAACAACAGTGAGAAATTATAATGGCGATAGCTTGAAGAGAGCTCTTATTGCCTAATTTCTACACAATGATACATAATTTTTTTTAAGATATATTCTACAGATCAACCGTAATTAAATACGCATTACGGAGTTCACGCGTTTTATTTTACGATTGATTAGCGATTCTTTTTCCCCCTTGGTCGAAAATCAACGAAGATTTTCGATTGATAGATAACACATTTAATTCAAGTATACAATGATATCGACGTACAATAGTGTGAAAAAATTTTCAGAACTTCTCGTTACATCAATAAAGTTTTTTTTGTGTGAATATTAAATACAACAATACGTTTAAGTTTT